AGAGATAACGGTTAACCCTCTCTGAATTATATATTGTTGGTGTTAGTCTATTGCCAGTATAACAGTTTTATGACTTTCGTTGAATTGCGGTGCTCCCACGATGAAAGGCCTTTCAGGAGGGGGATGGTGGAGGTCACAAAAATCTCCACAACTTCTCTTGAAATTTAATTATTATGCAAATTTTTATTTCGTGTGGTCCGTATGCCAGTTACTAATAAATGAACTTGGTTAATTATGATTCTTTTGTGGTTTCTTTTTTTAATAATTTATAATCTTTAGAATTTTTGTTGTTAACTTTTTTATATTCTATACTCTTTTTGTTTGGCGACTCATCATATCGCACACACAAACACACGTAATTTTATATCGTTTCTATTTGTTTCACTTTCAATTGTTTCTATATGTTTTGTGATTATGTTTTCGAGACAACAATACTTATCAAAATGATTTTCTTATTTGTTGATCTTATAAAACTTTTTCTAATGATTTAAACAATTTTTTTTCAAGTCTTGCTTGAATTTCTTTTTTTCGTGATTGATTTTTTTTTTCAGCACCAAATCTTCTTTTCTTTCTTGTAAATCAAGTAATTCTTTATTCAACTTCACACTTGTTTGCACAACTGCACTACAGCTCAACTGGAGATTTCGGTAGCCACTGAAAACCACAAATTTTGTAATCTCTCTCCTAGAGGAAACAGCTTGTGGACTTGAGAGGGGTATGGCTTTTTTTCCTTATGTGCCGGGGAAAGGAAATCTGAGAATAGTGGACGAAAACATACACACAAACTATTAGCGATCAACTAAAACAAAATTTTATCAAATTTTCCTTGATCTTACCAGCGATTGTGTAATCAAAGGTGATTTAATTAAAAGAAAATTTGCACAGCAAAGGTAGAAATACAATCAACCTTATATATTATGCCAATACTTTCCAAAAATCAGCAACAATTCTAGATCAGGAAAAACACCAAAATCCGAAGAAAATTGTGCAGGGCAGGATTAAGACGGTGACAAATTCCAATCAAAATGGCCAATATGTCTCCTCGTTCACGGTGATTCAAATAGCTGAATCACCCATACTAACCCGAAATTCAAAAATTAATATGGCATCTTCGTCATTTCATACATCCAAAATACATAGTAGTTAATTGGTGTTGGTAGAAGAAAGAGAAAGTATGATCATCATAAAATTTCACCACTTTCGCCAAGGGGATATTTGTGACAACATTCATGTCATCACTGTTAATAACAGGAAGTAGTCTACAGAAAAAACTTACAGAAAACCATACAACAAAACATTTCTGCTCAAGCAATTGACTGGCGAAAACAAAAATGCATAAACAAAATAAAAAGCCAAAAAAAAAAACGATAATATTAAAAATGAACCACAGCGGGGTTGATCCTGCGACCTTCCGAACGCTAATCCACGATGCTACCTCTGGACCAAGCTAGTATTAGACGAAGGTTTGTTTAACTGCGCTATCAAGTAAACTAATATAACAGTTTACAAGATCAATGTAGAAAGAGGGAAGAAGAAGCATCAGTGTAATAAAGAGCTTTTCTAGACATTATTCTAAAAATAGAATATTACAGAATATTAACAATATAACATTCCACCTCTCATATTACAGAGCACATGTAACAAAAATTATTATTTTACAGAAGAGCTTCTGATTGCCAAGTCAGAGGTGGGCGAATGTCAAATATTGGGGGCCAATAAAAAATAAAATAACAAAATTCAATCACTTATCTACATGCGCCCCTACAAATACATATATCAGAAGAGATAGTTAACATACACACCAATATCGACTATTTAGTTCCTTTGTTCTTATAGTACGTATTTCCAAAAATACCTTCATATCTTAACACTACACACCAATTCTGACAAAATCTAGCTCTATACAAAACTCTTGTAATTTAATACCAATCAGCACACAAGTACGTACCTCAAAAATCCAACTGAAGTAATTTGTCCAAATTTAATGATTCAGTCCGATCAGTTCACTCAAATCGTTAGTACACATAAGTACGAATTTGCAAAATTACATCCATTGCCCAATTCCAGAATTCCAGCTCTATCAAATCACCGAAACCGAAATTGTATAAAATGTAGTACCATTGAGTACACATTAATATAAACTTCCGTACGTACCCACCTCAACAATCCAATAGAAATCATATTTCCTAATTCCAGCCCGATTGGTTTACCTAAATCCAAATTGTATTATATTTATTACCACCTTGTACCCATAAGTACAAATTTCCGAAACTACATCCTACTATTCAACAGTAATCATACATATTTCCAAATTTCAGAATTTCAATATTATCGGTTCTCCCAAATCTAAATTGTACCAAATTTATTACACATAAGTACGAATTTCTAAAACGTCCTACATGTCCCAACTCCACACTTCAACAGTAATCTTAAGATTCATTCTAGGCCTAATTCATTACGCTGTGCCAAATTTCGTGCAAATCTAAAGATATATAGGGACTTTGGTGCACCATTTACATTTAATAGGACGAATATATATACGGGAGCTATATCTAAATCTGAACCGATTTTCAGGAAACTTAACACACATCATCCTAGGCCTAATTCATTACGCTGTGCCAAATTCCGTGCAAATCGAAAGATATATAAGGACGTTGGTGCACCTTTTACATTAAATCGGGCGAAAATATATATGGGAACTATATCAAAATCTGGACCGATTTTCATGAAACTTAACACACATCATTCTAGGCCTAATTCATTACGCTGTGCCAAATTTCGTGCAAATCGAAAGATATGTAGGGACTTTGGTGCACAATTTACATTAAATCGGGCGAAAATATATATGGGAGCTATATCTAATATTGAACCGATTTTCAGGAATCTTAACACACATCATTCTAGGCCTAATTCATTACGCTGTGCCAAATTTCGTGCAAATCGAAAGATATGTAGGGACTTTGGTGCACAATTTACATTAAATCGGGCGAAAATATATATGGGAGCTATATCTAAATCTGAACCGATTTTCAGGAAACTTAACACACATCATTCTAGGCCTAATTCTCTACGCTGTGCCAAATTTCGTGCAAATCAAAAGATAGGTAGGGACTTTGGTGCACAATTTACATTAAATCGGGCGAAAATATATATGGGAGCTATATCTAAATCGGAACCGATTTTCATGAAACTCTGCATCATACATCATTCTAGGCCTAATTCATTACGCTGTGCCAAATTTCGTGCAAATCGAAAGATATATAGGGAATTTGTTGCACCATTTACATTAAATCGGACGAAAATATATGGGAGCTATACTATTTGGCTGTTAAGTCAAATATATTGTTTCTGGTCTCTCTAGAGGTCACGAAACTGTACATGGGGAAAATGCTAATGAATAAGCATATTGAGAAAGTCAAATAGACGCAGACTTTTGTTCGAAAAAATTCAAAATTTCCATTATAGGCTCTTCACATTTATTATAGAAGGGCAGAGACCGGGTGGGGGAGCTATACGTAAATATTCTAATAGTATTTAGTATTACCATTAACGCACTAGATTATAGCTATACAATTTTGCATAAAGTTCCGGTTTTGTTGAAGCGCGACATATATCGATTTTGAATGGATGATATTTCGAGGATGAAATAATACAAAAAAAAAAATTCTAAATGCACTTTTATAACCCGAATACGGGAAATCTAGTCAAGGAAAAACATGGCTGCTTTGATAATGATGTTTGGTATTGCAAATGTCATATATCGGTCTAAGTATTGGTCTAGCCCCCACATAAGGGTCCCCCAATATTCGGTATTTTGGGGATTTTAGACACATTTTCCAATCGAGCTGGCTGTAATTTATTATCAAGTTTTAAAAAGTTCGGCCGTTAACATAGTTTTTTACTTGTTATATTCTGATAATGTAGTGTTATTACAACACCAGGAGGTGGATATTTCGCAGAATTTTCCCGACACGGAAAATAGTTTCGCAGAAAATTTAAGTCTTGTGGTAGTATCAGATGGATATCCCCGTGCGACTATATCGCTCCGCTCACAAGAAAAACATTAGAAAATCAAATCCAACATACGGAAACTTCAATGTGTCGATGTGAAATCGAGAAACTACAATTTTTTTGGAGTAATGCTAAAAATTTTGAAAAAATCTTGGAACAAATTAAAAATGCTAAAAAAGTGCTAGGTGCTAGATCAATTTTTTTTGGTGCTAAACGAGTTTAAAAAGTGCTAAATCTAGCACTAAAAGTGCTAAATTGGCAACACTGCCACTCACCAAGGGCTCCATAACGAATTTTCCTCCTGTCATATCAAGAGCTCGATTTTGAGTCAAAGTGTAATTTTTGGTACCGATATTTCAAGTTACGATAATGGAGGGTGCCCTTTCATGGAGGCTAAAACTAAAATGTACCCTATTAGTTATTTTAGATACAAAACATAATGAGAACCCAATGTTTAAAATTACAATGATATCTTTGAAGTGAGTGTACTTTAGAATTCCCTCATTAACACTTTTGTGCAGAAAAACAACATACAATGTACTATACCCTCCTTATATGATTACCTCTATTAGTGTCGTCTGTGTTTCTTCTTTTCTTAGCTAATTTAATAATATTTCATTTAAGGGGGAAAATCCATATAGCCTTCCCCCTCTCTCGCAGCCAACGACAAACTCGATGTGTAATCATCAGCTGTTTAAACGTGTAATAATATTCATGTTATGGTCCTTTACCATCCACAGGTGTTCGACAGATACTTAATTGATAATGGTTTACAATACACTTAGTTTCAATTTGTGCAAATATTCATCCATTCATTCCTCTAACAGCATTTTCGTGTAATTAATGTAGTTAAAGCAACAGCAACAATCACAACAACCGGCTGGTATACCCACATAGCTTATGGAATAATAAATTAATTCGTTTTCACCATCACCGCCACCCACCACTGATATTCTTTGTCTGTCTGTCTCTGTTTTGTATTCTTTCAGGTTGGGATGATTGGAGCGATTTCACCGTTTGCAGTGTGGCCTGTGGTAAGGGCGTGCAGCAGCGCTTCCGACGTTGCCTTCTCGATAATCCCATGGTCGAAATGAAAATGAATTTCAATGAAATTGAGGAAGAAGAAATTGAAGCTGAGGAAGAAGAGTTGGAGGTGGAAGAGCAAGTGGAACAGTACGATGACGATAATGAACTGATGGACGATGAGGTTACGGGAGATGCCGAGGAGGAAAAACAATACGACGATATTGACAGAATGATATTTGAGGATGATGATGACGATGAAATCATTGAACAGCTCAAAGCTATCGACAACTATGACAGTGCCGATGATGACGACGATGGCGAACGTTCGATGCTGAATGCTGTTGCTGGCGGCGGTGGTGGTCAAGCTGTTGCCTTTGGCTTTATAAATGAACGTTATGAAAAACCGGATGTTAGAAATAAAAAAACATCGTAGAAGAACTCAACTATCACAGGATGTTGCCAGGCAACGGAATAGAGCAGACCCCGATAACGAGGCCTTGGATGGCGTTGAATTGATGACCCAAACGGATGTATACGAAGTGGACAACAATATGTTGCACTTTGTGACAGCACCATCAGCGTCACTAGGTGAAAAAACACAATCACGAAGGGCCAAAAATAAACTTAAAACAAGAACAGCAACGACAACAACTGAACAACCCGAAATTATGCGCATATTTGAGGGTGATTTCAACGATGTCTACAGTGAACGAATTTACAATGAAAGTCCATTTAATGGTCCCCAGTTGTCGGAGGATAAACGAGACTTGAAAATGCACAAAAAAGGACAGCGTTCGAAACATAAACGTCATAAATCAGCAAAAATTGTGAGCACAATGTTCTGCGAAGGCTACAATATCGAACAGAGAACGTGCAATAATTTTGAATGTAGTGGTAAGTGAAACAATTGAATTTATTAACATTTTGCCTTTGTGTAAATTTGGTTGTCGTTGATAAGTTAGAATAATTTATGATTCATGGCTTTTGGAATGCTTTAATTCTATTAGGTTGAATAAAATGAAATTCTGATGGCCTTGAATATGGATATATCCACCATAAATGTCAATAACTATCACCGTTTGAAAATGTTAAAAAAATATTAAAATAAGAGACTCAATAGTTCTAATTGTGCAACAAGTAAATATTGCGAGATTTCAGAAATTTAGTTTGTCCATAAGAGATAGAAGTAAGAAAATTCAACTTCGCAGATAACAATTTCCAATAGCATTTTTTACCCTGCACCAAGGATTGGGGAGTATCGTAATTGTGTCATTACCTTTGTAAGACCATATCTAAACTCACGATAGAGGTCGTATATTTTAGAGAGAACATTGAAATATTGATAGCCCTCCTTAGATGTTTGATATTGGGATATAACGGTCCACGTTTTGACATAATTCGTTTTAAAGGTTTTAGTCACATTTTTACACCGAAGTGGCTATAATTTTGTATTCCTGATTTTAAGAGACTGTCATACATCTATTTAAACATGATCGACATAAATCCATCGTTGCAGAAAATTGGTAATGCTGGTCCATTTCGGTCATAATCTCAATATATATTCCTAATTCCTGTTCCTGAAGAATAGAACATGTTCTTCTTCTTTTTACATAGTATACATACCAAGGTCCCACTTAATTATCGGCGTGTTGAGGTTCCAATCTCAATTTTTTCATAGAGCATAAAAAACTTCTAGCAGACAACTCGTAATGACATTGCCCCGTTCTAAAGTACTCGGGCGATTTTGGATATTTTTATTGGGCATCAACATGTGGTATCATTGATTTCCCCTAACTCAATTAGCATTTTTTATATTTATTTATTTTCGAATTTAGCATTTTGACCTTTCCTCACTTTAATTTTCATAACCCTGAAATACAGTTGTAAAAGGTTTATTGTTTTCTCTAAAATTTTTTATGTTTTAATATTTTGCTTTATCAATAACCATGATTTATTATTGTATACAAATATGGTCAGACTATAACAATAACACCAATAATATTTCAGATGTTTTGTTTTTTTTTCCTTTTTGCCTCATTTACAGATGATATCAATGATTTATTGAAGTTTTATCGAAAATATCCCAGTAACGAGGAAACAAGTGCGACTTCAACACAAGCATTAAATAACGATTTTAATACAGCGCCATCAGCAGCTGTATCTTCTTCTTCATCATCATCGTCGTCTGCAGCGGCGGCATGGACCGCCACTTCTTCAGTTACAACCGCATCAGCAACTAATTTTAATGGCGGATCTGTTCCATCGACACAGACAAATGATTTGAGTCTCTGGAATGGTTTAACAGAAAATATAAATACCATAACACCAATACCGAAAAACACTGGCTTTGTTAAGACATGGCATAACTTTTTAAATTTAACATTATGCTGACACTGCGAGCGAAGGTAAGTAGAAATAAGAGATGTGAAAAGGTGTTTATGTAAAGGCAATAAGTCCATATAAACTTTTAAACTCATTCAGTGTTGCCGACAAATCTATACCCTTGAAACAGACGATGGGGAGTATTTATACCCTACACAACTTTGTTGTCATGCTATTATAGCTTTGTGTGCCCCCCCGACATATTGGTCCTAGACCCACCTCTCTGTATGCCGATCGTCACATCTCGACTAGCTGAGCCGAATACAACATGTATGTTCGTCCGTCTGTCTATTATATTTTGCAAACACAAAACACAGTTTTCGACCAATCTTTATGAAATTTTGCATATATGATGGGTTCTGGGCAAAGATAAAATGGACAAAAAAACTTTATTTTTGTTTGTTTTTTTTAGTCTCTCTATAGGCCAAAATTATGACTTGAACATCACAAAATTTTACACAAAGAAGGGGGTCTGACCTTGAAATAAGCATGGGTGTGTTGATGATTTGGATTTGGTTTTGATGAATATTGGTGTATATATTTACTCTTAAGGACATAGACCCGATAATATGATGGTAAAACCAAGAGGAATTACGTTGGTGTTTGTCTTCGGATATGGGAGTTATACGTAAATATTGACAGAGATCTACTTATTCTGATATTGTTTAGCAATAACATTACCAGACTAGAGGGCGTAAATGCAGCGCTGATGGATATGAGATTTCGCATGAGATTCCGGCTATTGTATGATGATCAGATTATATTTAAGAGATGAAATGGACCGAAAACTTTATTTATCGCTGGATTTCTACACTTTTCCACATGTTATTCAAAACATATAAAATGTAATTCGAGTATTGCATTTGTAATTCACAACATGTAATTTACAATTGGAGAATTAAATTTGCAATTCGAAACTTATAAGTTGTAATTTAAGAATTTCATTTGTAATTCATAGAATACCTTTCGAAATTCATAGAATTCCGTTTGAAATTCAAAGGATTGTATTTGAAACTCAAAGGATTGCATTTGAAATTCATAAAATTCCATTTTAAATTAATAAAATTCCATTTGAAACTCAAATTCCATTTGAATTTCATAACATTTCATTTGAAATACATAATATTTCATTTGTAATTCATAACATTTAATTTTAAATTCTAAAAATATTATTGGTAACACACAAAGGAATATGTATGAATTTGAAATGAATTTTTACGAATTACAACTGAAATTTTATGAATTACAAGTGAAATGAATTTCAAATTGAATTTTAAATGGATTTCTTTGAATTTCAAATGAAACTCTAAGAATTTCAAATGGAAATATACCAACCATAAATGGAATTTTTAAATAAATAATAATAAAAGAAATTTTATTGGAATTACTTTGACCTTAAATCGGTCAGGAGAGTGCACCCCACCCATGCTCGGAATATAGATCCGCGGAAACTAAGTGCTCAGCGGAAGTTTGGAAGGGTGTCATCTGGTGGGCCCACAATGTAGAGGTCACCTTTATGGTCCAAATTGTCTGTCTAGATTTAGATATAGCTCCCATGTATATATATATATATATATATATATATCTGTACACCAAAGATCCAAAGTTAGGCCGATTGACACAAAATTTTGCAAAACGTACTGAAGTTAGTATTTGATATATCTCCTATTTATATTTTCGTCTAATTTTTTGTAAATGGTGCACGAAATTTGTAGGGAGTTGAGACCAGAATGACGTTATGGCGTTTTGTTGAAATTATCCATTGGCCGATTTCGTGTTGGTAGTGCCCCAAATAATCAACGGATATCCGATTGAAATTAAATGTTGTACAGTGCGCTGTTTCTGCAGCATTCCGAATAGCGTGCGCCAATTCGCTGTTTATTTGATTTATAAATGTTGAAAATACCAGAAGACAAGGACCCATGTGTCCGAACTTCGGACTTGATCTAATATTGGTAAAATATTACCACGTGCATAGTGTGAATAAAATTTTGATATTCCGTTCGCGTCCAATGCAAAATATTAACCCTTTGTTGAGGGGGTACTTGAAGGAGTGGATCGATAAGTTCCATTTTCAAACATTATACAGGATTGGTTAAAATGTTAGGTTGTGCCAAGTAAAATTAAAATGTTGATCATTTTTTTCGCATTGTAATACTTTGAAAGAAGTATTACAATGCGCAAAGCATCAAAGAAATCGGTTACTCAATTCGATCGTTATCGTGTGTACCAGCCAGACAGACGGTCGTTCATATATAAATCGACTCCACATTTACAAAATTTGCATAGGTTGCAGAATGACATATGTAGGGATTAACATCAATCCCGGTTTACATATATATAAAGATCACATATTTAAGTTCGTTCCATTTCACGTCGATGTTCCTTCGAAAAGGCGACGTCTATTAGGATACATATGAATAATATACTCAAAGTGGTGAAGGGTATTAAATAGGCCCAGTCCAACTTTAGTACTTTCCTTACTGGTTATATTTGGACTGTGTCAAAATATAAACACATACTGAAACTTTTCTGCGAATAATGCTTCCCAGGAATGCAAATTAATGCCAGGTTGATATTGTGGCATGGTCCATGGATGAACCCATTATTGAAATGGTTCTGCATATATGTTCGTCACACTTTTAGGTCCCCAAAAGTGACATCTATAAAATGTTAACGACTCTTATAATATATACTACTAACTTTATTTTACTGAATATACACCTTCCATATATGTCCCTTAAACATGATTATTATATATTCTCTTTTATTTACGTATTATGTCTTTATTAAATTTTATCACTATATTTCTTTTATGTTCATTTCCTTTGCTGTGATCTGAAACTTGGCTCCTCTTCAACGGCCATTTAACTCGCGTGAATATGAAAACTTAACCTCATTGGCAGAATGACAGTTATAACTCGGCGACAGCAGCTACAACGGCGACAATATTCTTCATTCGCAACGGTACACACAATCTGTACTTGGAAACATATCGAGATGGTTTACACCTGTATTTGGAAAGAGATAAAACCACTGAAATGCTGCCCATTCAATTTAATTTATACGACTATCGGTGGCATCAAGTGGCCATAAGGTGGGTAAAAACTTTGTGGTGAAAACCTGTGTGAATACAAGAGTATTGCATGTTATTTGCGTGTGTTTGGGAGTATCGTTTTCCCATAAATGTATTTCTGAACATCCTGTATGTGCGTGTGTGTATATATTTGTAATATTCAGCATAAAATGCCTTTGGCCCTTGGCTGAGTTACTGAAATTTACATTTTTATTGGCCATAGTTGAGGTTTTTTTGTTTCTGTTGTTTTGCGTTCCCCATTCAACGTTCAAATGTTATTACATTTTATTTTATGCGAACAACACCAAAAACACAAAATAAATTCATTTTATTACGAATTTTCATATTTGTCTGTTTTTGTTTGTTTCTTTGTTTCTGACAGCATAAAAAATGGTGATTTCATAACGATTTACATCGATTGTTCCTGGTCGAACAGTTTTGTCGTTTCGAAACGTTTATTTTCATTGCCTTTGGATGCCGATGTTGAAGTTGGACGAGGATTCAATGTAAGTATATGAATATCCAATATTGAAAGTAAAAATAAATACCAAATATTGTAATTATATTTTGTAACATTTCAATATAAAACACAATCGGAATTGTGCTATTGAAATTTTCATACATAAAAGAAGGGCAACTCTTATTCGATATTAAAGAGTAATTTTACAGTTCATGAAATTTTATTGCCGTTGTAACGGACGTCTGTGACTTAATGATATTCGAAAAAGTAATTATTGATCCTAATAGTGATTGTTGAGGCGAGGGGTTAGCTCTACTCCTCGCCGTGGTGGTGTGTGGGGGGGTGATCAATGTATTAACTCAAGGGAGCGGGGTGAAGCGACAACGAGAGCTCCCAAGCAGTTAATGGTGTAAATGGAAAAGAAAATAAAGGTTCAAAAGAAATAAAACGCAAGAATGATTAGTTTAATAATCTTAATAAAAGTCTTGGTTTATTGGTGGTATTCTTTTCTATATTCAACAACAAAATTACCTTTGTAATTTGGGGCGGCGACAGAGGCCTGTTAGTAGATAACGCGTAGACGTTATTCGACAAGTTACTTCTAAGGAGGTTAAACGACCAGTGAACGCTGTGGTTCGTGCAATCACAGAGGATTGCGGTGATCGCTGAGGATCGGTTGTCGTTTACTACTACATTTACATATTCTAATGGGAGAAAAGTGTCGAGCAAGGAGAGCAAACAGCAACAACCACCGCTCGGTGGCATCTGCACCCTACGGTCTCCGCTGAGGGAACTTGCAGAGGAGATGCCCGTGGTGTCAATCAGCAGACGTGATTGACTGAGCTCGGGAAGTTGAGTCAGAACGTATCAAACTTATACAGTGATCGTATTATGTTTTATTGTGATAAATTAATACTGATTTTAATTGATTTAGCTGGGGTTAGAGAAAATAAACATAACTATAAAGAACTATAGCTGTACACACAAATATAAAGCTTTTTCGAATTATATCAGTTTCAGGGTTCATTATTTATATAGAATCGGGCGAAAATGCAGGGAATACTATATAAGCTTCTGTCCCAGGCAGCACTGCGTGTCATTTCTGGCCTGTTCATTGAAAATTTTGTCATTGTGTTGTGTTGGTTACAGTGATTTGACAATTTTGGTGCGATAGTTTTTCACTACAACCAATGTGGATTACACAATAAGGAGTCGATGAACTTAAATCGTTATAACTTTTGCATAAAGGTTTGGTGCAATATTTATATAAAATCGGTCGAAGCTATATATGAGAGCTATATCTAATTTGAAGCGATTTCAACAAAACTTGGCTACATTAATTTGGACTTAATTCAGAACTCTGTGAAAAAAAATTGTCTTATTCGGACAAATATTGGGAGTTTGTGACATAATTTTCATAAAATCGAACGAACATATATGTAACAACTATATCTAAATCTGAGCCGATTTTTATACCCTTCACCGCACTGTGGTACATGGTATTATGTCTTTGTGCATATGATTGTAACAGGCAGAAGGTAACGAGATAGACACATGGCTCCTTTTGAGAATATGCATAGAATCACTTTTTAAGTCGATTTATGCATATTAAATTGTAAACAAAGTACAGGTCGCATTTATGATCCGAATTGGATGAATTTTGGCATAGATCACTTATTTGGCCCAAGGACGAACCCTATTGAAATTGGGAAAATCGGTTCAGATTTAGATATAGCTCCTATATATATTTTCGTCCGATTTTATGTAAAAGGCGCACCCAAGTCCCTATATATCCTTCGATTTGAACGAAATTTAGCACAGAGTACTGAATTAGGTCTCGAATGATGTGTGTTAAGATTCCTAAAATCGGTCCAGTTTTAGATATAGGTCCAATATATATTTTCGTCCGATTTATTGTAAATGGTGTACCAAAGTCCCTATATATCATTCGATTTGGACGAAATTTGGCGTAGCGTACTGAATTAAGTCTAGAATGATGTGTGTTAAGTTTCGTGATGTAGATATAGATATATTTTCGTCCCATTTAATCTAAATTATATACCAAAGTCTCTATATATTTCGATTTGCACGAAATTTGGCATAGCGTACTGAATTGATAACAGAACGATGTGTATAAATTTTCTTGAAAATCGGTCCAGATTTAGATATAGCTCCCATATATATGTTCGACCGATTTAATGTATATGGTGTACCAAAGTACCTATATATCTTTCGATTTGCATAAAATTTGCCATAGCGTACTGAATTGAGTCTAGAATAATGTGTGTTAAGCTTCGTGAAAATTTGTTCAGATTTAGATATAGCTCCATATATATTAATTGCCTTTCTGTTAGGGTGCATCTTTATACCCTTCACCACACTGTGGTACAGGGTATTATGTCTTTGTGCATATGTTTGTAACAGGCAAAAGGAAACGAGATAGACACATGGTTCCATAGAATCACTTTTTAAGTCGATTTATGCATGTCCATGTTAAATTGTAAACAAAGTAGGGGAGACTGGGGCACCTTCGGGAATCGCGTTTTCGATATGAAGCTCTCACCGTACATCACTAGTTTCGATACATAGGTATCGAATATCGAAATAAATAACTGACACAAAGTTTGAAATTTCTAGCTAATAAGCTTATTTAGATACATGGGTTTTTGTATTTTTATAGATGTTTCTGTAATATTTCAATTCCATTTCGTAAGTATTTCGTGTATAAAACTTTTTAAATTTTTAAGACAATATTATTAAAAGGTAGTTAACTACGATGTGTATTATTATAGCAATATTTAAAAATATAATATAAATTGCATATATAAGATCAAACGTGCTTGTATTGTCGAAAATGCGATAGAAAACCTCTATTTCTGATGGTGCGTGCGACCTTGAGATGTAAACGTCCTCCGCTAGAAAATAAAGGCCTAAAATTCAAACATTGTGTGGCGTATTAAAACCAAATAGAGCCTTTAGAGGATCAGAATTTCAACCTGACTGATAGCGATGACAATTACCCGGCTATGACTATGGTGCCGAATGTGCCCCATCAAATGAATGAATGAATTTGACTTTTTACAAAACTGTAAAATTTTTTAACTAATACTATTTTTTTATACTATTACTATTTTTTTATACTAGTACTATTTTTTTATAATTAAGTGTCAGAAGACAATAATCAGCCATAAAGTTGTTATATATGTTTAATAAGTACTGAGATATAGAGCTAAAAAAAAAGTGCCGAAGGTGCCCCAGTCTCCCCTACAGGTCGCATTTATTATTCGAATTGGATAAATCGGTTCAGATTTAGATATAGCTCCCATATATATTTCCGTCCGATTTAAGGTAAATGGTGCACCAATGTCCCTTAATAGCTTTCGATTTCCACGAAATTTGGCACAGCGTACTGAATTAGGCCTGGAATGACGTGTGCTAAGTTTCGTGGAAATCGGTTCCGAGTTAGATATAGCTCCCATATATATTCTCGTCCGATTTAAAGTAAATGGTGCACCAAACTCCTAATGTTTGTTCGATTAACACGAAATTTTGCATAACGTATCGAATTGAGACTTAAATGACGTTATTGGGTTTTGTTGAAATTGGTGCATATACAGCCATAGCTGTCAAATGTATTTCGATCGGGCGTACCAAATAGCGTGTATCAATTTTTCTATAAATCGTTTTCTACAAATTTGTCCCATGGTACGCAGGCGACTCTAAATCTGCCCGAATGAAATTAAATTTATCAAACTTTGCAGAAAGACATGAGTATGTTCCTTCGAGGGGACATTGACATATAATTGTAAGGATACATATGTACAAAATACCCAAAGTGGTGAAGGGTATCATATAGTCGGCCCAGTCCTACTTTACTACTTTCCTTACAGGTTTCCAATTCCAATAGGGTTCGTCCTTGGGCTAAACAACAATGCTCCAAAAAGTACAAGTACGGACAGATATAGCTCCCATATATATTTCCGTCCGATTTAAGGTAAATGGTGCACCAATGTCCCTTAATAGCTTTCGATTTCCACGAAATTTGGCACAGCGTACTGAATTAGGCCTGGAATGACGTGTGCTAAGTTTCGTGGAAATCGCTTCATATTTGGATATAGCTCCCATATATATTTCGTCCGATTTAAAGTAAATTGCATCAAATTCCTAATGTTTGTTCGATTAACATCGAAATTTTGCACAACGTACAAAATTGAGTATAGAATGACGTTATTGGGTTTTGTTGAAATTGGTGCATATACAGCCATAGCTGTCAAATGGATCGGGCGTACCAAATATTTATATTTGTTCTATAAATCGTTTTCTACAAATTTGTATGGATAGATCTAGGTAGATTCACATTTAGATAAATATCATATATTTTATTTCATCCAATTTCATGTTAATATTCCTGTTTAATATACCCATAGTGGTGAAGGATATAATATAGTCGGTCATATTCGACCTTACTACTTTCCGTACTGGTTTGCAATTCCAATAGGGTTCGTCCTTGGACTAAACAACAATGCTCCAAAAAGTACAAGTACGGACAGGCGGACATGCATAAATCGACTTAGAAAGTGATTCTATGTATATTCTCAAAAATAACCATGGGTCTGGCTTTCGGTCAACTTTCCAAGAGTTAATTCATAAAAAAAATCGGCGTTCTGTTTATTCACATAAAATTCAATGATTTTCAAGAGTTTTTCGTTTCTAAGTGATTCTATGTATATTCTCAAAAATAACCATGGGTCTGGCTTTCGGTCAACTTTCCAAGAGTTCATTCATAAAAAAATCGGCGTTCTGTTTATTCACATAAAATTCAATGATTTTCAAGAGTTTTTCGTTTCTAAGACAATTAATGGTTATGATGTAGACCACACAGGAGATATTATTAGATATTGCTACATATAACTGGCTTCCGATATTCGGAATTTTAAGGATCTTTGCAACGAGTTTTAATGGGATGGTTTTTCAAATTCATTGAAAGTAACTGTCAGTTTACCGAAATTCTAATCGAAATTTTAATGATTATTTTTTCTAATTTGGTATTGATCTTCCTTTGTTAATAAGAAACCCAGTGTCAAACTTCTTATACCCTCCACCGTGAGGTTGGCATTTAATTTGATCAAAATTAATATCAAAACAAAATGTGGCGGAACAATATAGTAGTTACGACAAAACAGGGACCCATATTTTTTAAGTATTAAGAAGCCTAATATACCTTTAAAGGCCGAATCTTGACATGGGAAATATGTTGAAACATGAATCTATATTCCTATTCTCCAAATATGAAAGCAATGTATGTAAAATTCATTCATATCTTGCAATATTTATACATGTAATAACATATGGTAAACTATGATTTAATTAGGCAAGGCCATGTTTCTGTTTATACAACTTAATTAATTTTATAAATTTAATTTGTATGTTGTATTAAATTAACAACATTATGTTTTTTTAACTAAATCGACTCTTTATATTACTTCTCTTGCAGGGTGAACTACAACAACTGCTGATATTACCACGACTGCAAGGACGTCGGCAATGTTCAGACAAACGAATATCCATAAATGAAGTGAAACGTTATATAATCGATACATTTATCGGTGATTATGGGAATTAAATCAGAAAACATTTTGTTTTGTAATTTATAACAGAGATTTAATTTTCTTTTAGTCTGATTTTCCTTTTGTGAAACGATACAATAAACTAGGAAAAATATCCAAATCAACACACACACACAAACACATTTTTGCTACATAACTAAAGTATAGTCACGAAAAAAAAAACAAAAACATAAGCTGATTAACAACAAAAACAAAACTAATGAATATCTTAATAAGTTTCTGAGAATATATTATGAATATATTTTTCATATAAGTTTAAGGCGAAAAAAAAAACAATTTGCAATACAATAAATGTAATTGATTATATATTATTACTATTATTATGATTATTATATACAGACATTAGTGCATATATATGTATACATTATTATGGAAAAAAACAACAGCAACAACAGAAAAAAGGACGTAAACTAAGAGACAAATAAAGAAACTTATAAAAGTATTATTACTAATAAATTGGAATAAAAAAACAAGAAAATATGAACAAATACTTGTATACAATTGATGATTGAACTTTTAATTGGATACACTGAAGTGGCGATCAATAAAGGTAAGTATATTATGCTTTAATAATTATGAAGTGGTAGTCTATTTATAACGTATTAACATTTCATTAGAAAGGTGTGTGAGAAATACCAGAGCAGGACATTTTATGTATATAAGAGTGATACTATATATAACGAATATATATATATATATATATCATATGAAATGCTGGTGTTTCTACAGGAGAGCTGTAGGCTGCTATTGTGTTTTAAATCCAAAGATGATACAAGGATACCGATTCCAACATACGGGAAAAAACTTATGTTATAATAGTACCTTGAATATACCGAAAAAGACGTGAGAAAAGATGATTACTTTATAGAAGGATAAACGTTTTATGGAGATATATCAAAACGGGGATCAATCTTGATAATTTTGGGTATTGAAATTTGACAGCCAATGATAATACAAATTACAGCCAAAAGTGTCTATAATACCGACTTTTGTCAACTTAAACATTATTAGTACAGAGATGGGAGTACCCTTATATCTGGGCTAATATTTAGTACTAGGATGTGCTATACAGTGAGAACCCAGCCAATTCGGTTGAAAAACGTATCGAAAATACCGAACATTAGGTCAAAATCCCCAAAATACTAAATATTGGGAGGAACCGTTATATGGGGGCTACACCAAAGCGTGGACCGATACATTCTGTTTGCAATACGAAGCACCCTAAGAGTACTAACAATGTCTGTGGAAAATGATTTCCACATACAAACGGACAGAGGAACACACATACATCGACATAGAAGTGATATGTAGGGAATTTGGTGCACCATTTACATAAAATCGAACAAAACTATATATGGGAGCTACATCTAAATTTGAACCGATTTCCACGAAACTTGACACACATCGTTCCGGACCTAATTCAGTACTCTATGCCATATTTCGTGCAAATCGAGGGATGTATAGGGACTTTAATGCACCATTTACATAAAATCAGACAAAACTATATATGGTAGCTATATCTAAATCTGAACCGATTTTCAAGAAATTTGACACACATCGTTCCGGACCTAATTCAGTACTCTGTGCCAAATTTCGTGCAAATCGAGAGATATATAGGGACTTTGATGCCTATATCGGACGAAAATATATATGGGAGCTATATCTAAATCTTAACCGATTTCAATAGGGTTCGTCCCTGGGCCAAATAAGTGACTTATGCCAAATTTCATCCAAATCGGATCATAAATGCGACCTGTTCTTTGTTTACAATTTAACATCTACAGACGGACAGACGGCCGGACGAACATTTATAAATCGACTCAGAAAGTGGTTCTACGCATATTCTCAAAAGGAACCATGTGTCTATCTCGTTTCCTTTTGCTTGTTACAAACATATGCACAAAGACAATGAGGGGGCGAATATTAATAATTTTTAGGAGGGAGGTTTGTTACCATATAGGACTGCAAAGAAACTAAGGATTTTGTTGGAAAACGCGTTCAAGAACCCCAAAATACCGAAAATTGGGGAGTACCCTTATATGGGGCTACCCGAAAAAATTGACCTATAGTGGAAAGATTTACCACCCAATAAGAATTCGAAGTACTAAATTACAGCCAATTCGGTCGAAAAATACGATCAGAACCCCCAAAATACCTAAAATTTGGGGGTACTGTTATATGGGAACTACCAGAAAAAGTGGACCAACATTTATAATTTCTAGTGGAGTAATTTGCTGCCCAAAAATAAACCAATATACGAAATTTCAGCGAATTTATTAAAAAACGCGCCCAAGAACCCCAAAATGCCGAAAATTGGGGGAACTTTTATAGGGGGGCTATCCGAAAAAATTGACTTCTATTTATACCCTTTACCACACTGTGGTACAGGGTATTATGTCTTTGTGCATATGTATCCCAGTAGTTCGAGTAACTGGTTATGAACTGGTTATTTTACTAATTACCTGTAACTACCACTAGTTACCTCTTCATGCCCTAGACTGGTGAATTTAACATGGGTGTGTCATTGGGGAAGTCAATTGTCCCCTGCCTGCGTTACCAGTATACAGTCATTTCGGTAGTAAAAAATGATTGTATATTTGACTAGTGTTTTATAGTCAGTTACTTGGGTAGATACAAACTATAAATAAAATGCGTAGTTACTTATGTATAGAAAATTAGATGTATAACAGTTTGAAAAATTACAATTTATTCTGTACAAAAATATTTGTTATAACAGAGTATTGTATACATATATATTGTTTGATCCATCTGAAAGTCCATAGTTCACGATTCTTTTGACGGCCGAGTGCTTTTCAAATATGTCTCCCTGGCTAAATAGATTTATCTGAAATAAACGATTTAGAAACATTTTAAGTTAGAAGTCCTATATAAAGCTTTTTTTGTTAGAGAAAACTTACTTATAGAAAATCGACAGTATACCCCTTGAGCATCTAGTTATGCGTTGAGGATCTCTACGGAGCGACAACTCTTCCTCTTCACAGAAGGCATGTCAATACTTCTTTAGGAATATATTTAATTTGAAGAATCTGTCAATCTGTGGGGGCTTTTGAAATCTGGAAATGAAGCCTGTATAAGGATTACATTGATCTATATTGTGTTACAAAAAACTTACCTTCGATTTATCATCTGTATTTTATTTGAATATTGAAATTTTATTTTTTTTACGGAAAACACATTTCTATTTGATTTTTGCTCTTAAAATTCCGAAAATTTCTAAAAAGTCTAAACAAAATGACAGAACAATTCTTCTGTTTTTTTTTATATTCATACTCGATTCATTACCAGTAACTACTGAATTGGAATGATATACCTAGACAACTTTTTCAATCGACAAATAAATTCAACATTCAATTTTGTGTCCCTTTTTGGGGTATAAAGAAACTAGAACTCCAAGTAACTAGTTATATAACCATATATCAACAGACAATTGATATTTTTTGAACAACTGGGATGTAACAGGCAAAAATAATCGAGATAGACCCATGGTTCCATTTGAGAATATGCATAGAATCACTTTCTGAGTCGATTTATGCATGTCCGTCCGTCTGTTAGGTAATGGTGCTCCATTTGCACGAATTTTGGCATAGCTTATTGAATTATGTGTAGAATGATGTGTACACCTCCTATATATATTTTCGTCCGATTTTAAGTAAATTGTGCACTAAAGATCCACAGCTAGGCCGATTGACACAACGTACTGAAATTAATATAAATTAATCTCTGGCAAGTTTGCTTCATATCGGTTCAGATATAGATATATCGTAGCTTCCATATATAATTTCGACTTATTTATTGAGATTAAATTTTAAACAGTGCAGCATACCCAATAGCGTGTGTCAAGTTTGCTTTAAATCGATTTACACAAATCTGTCCCACTGTGCGCAAACGACTCTAAACTTGCCCAAACGAAAAGAAATTTAGCATTGTTTCCAGAAAGACATAAAAATCACATTTTAATTTCGTTCAATTTCATGTCAAAACTCCTTCAAAAAGGCGACGTCTTTTCGGATACATATGTAGAATATACCCAAAGTGGTGAAGGGTATTATATAGTCGGCCCAGTCCGACTTTACTACTTTCCTTACTGGTTTTAATTTTTCGTAGGGAGATTTTCTACCCAATAAGAACTCAAAGTATCAAATTTCAGCACATTCTGTCGAAAAATGCGACCAAAATTCAGATGAAAAACAAATTCAGTTGAAAAACGCGCTCAAGAACCTCAAAATACCGAAAATTGGGGGGTATCCTTATATGGCAGCTATATAGCCCAAAAAAAGGTTTTCAAATGAATGCATTATCAAATCATAATATTTGTACCGAACATATATTTAGTGTTGGTCTTAACTGTACATAGCTTATTATTTTGAGGCCGACGATTGAATTGATTGCTGATGCATACTTTCATTGAATGTATAGTCGTTTTCTACAAGAGTGAATTTTTGAACACTGAATTCGAAAAATGTTCGGGTTTTGTTTGCTAAAAAAGTTCTAAGTAGCCACAGTCAAGGAGCTTAGTCTTCATTGTAAGCTTTGGTTGTGTGTTCTCAATTATGTTGTAGTGGTTCATTATTATTTTGTAGATGCTTACATTATCGAGAAGCTTTAGCTTTGCTTGCTAATATGTTTTGTAATGTGTTGCTATTTGTTGCATTATTGTTATTTTGAGGATGAATTTAGCATGCAATGTGGTAATTTTCGGTGTTTTTGCTATTTTGGAGTTAGTATTTTACCCAGGTTGCAAACGGAATGGCAAAATTTAAAATATATTCCACCTTATGGTGGAGGGTATAATAAATTTCGTTCAATTAGGACCATTTTTGTGGGAGTTAGAGAGATTTCAAACTGAAATTTTAATGTTTTTACTTGGGGTTAGGGTAGTATGTATGGCAGCTTCCGAATAAAACACAGGAATATAGAAATATATCATGGACCTATATCAAACATTTCTGCGAAGATGACTTCAAAACACCGAAAC